TGTGTTCCCAAAATATCCTTCTGGTTTGGATGCTGAATATAATAGAGGAGTCCACTAACAAGAAAGCTTGACCTCTATAAAAACCGTCCAAAGTAGTCCACTCCTTGGTTTTATACTCTTGGTACTTCGTCAACAACACAACTATTTGCGTAGAACCAAGTATATTATCACTCTTTGATGTCTTCTATAACGCTAACTGTAGTTCAGATTTTTTGAACTTGTTAACCAGAGGATCATCAGAAAGAGTTAATGTAAAAATTAATACTAAACTAAATACAAATTGTTAATTATATAATAATATAAATAAGATAGAGAAATGTTAAAAAGCTACTTATTAAACATTATTATATAACTTTACGAACATGCTTGTTAGTGAAGTTATATAATTATTTTTAATATGTAAATGACATTAGACAACTTTATAAATAAATATTAATATTGTAATCGTTAGTATTATCATATTATGCTAGCAAGATAAATTTATTTTCCAGTTCTTATTTATAGTTCTGTACTATTTCTTTACAGTTATTATCCAGATTTCAGATTCAGGCTAATCTGGAATTTTATATTTTTTTTTGATTATTTATCTTTTTTTACCTTTTTTATTGATATAACAAATTTTTTAAATTATTAAAATTGCTAATAAAAAGTAAAAGTTGTTTGCCGAAGTAAAAAGGAAAAGAAAAAAATAAAAGAAGTTTTGTGATTATAGTAAGGCTAAACTTTATGAAATACATAACTTTAATTTTAAAAAATAGTATAGAAGTATAATATGAACTGGAAAAATAAATTTACAAAGTAGTCAATAGTAAAAATTAAATTCAATTATTTGATCTGAATCTAATTTTTGACTATTGCCTACTTTGTAGATAATACTATAACATATTAGTCGCAATGCTGCAAATTATATGCATTGTTAGTATTACTAATTAATATATTAGTTACGATCTGCAGTTTATGTGTATAAAAGGTATATATATAGATAGAGTATATGCATATTAGTTATACTAATATGTAAAGGTCATCCTTCGTGCAGAACTTCAGTTATTTTAATATATATATTGATTGTAGATTAAGTTATTATAAACAACTTTTGTTATAAAAGTTTTTATAATTTTATAATTAAAATTTTAACTTTAATTAGCTAAGAAAATTTTTTTCTTTTCGGTAATATATAAAAATTTAAAAACTAAGTAAAATTAACAGAATAAATGTATAAGTTGCATCTTGCGATATGCTTATTAAAGGTTTGCAACCCAGACACATGTCTGTGCCCAACAAAAAGTTTGGGCATAGGCATAAGCACAAGACCTCAGGTATAGGTATGAATACAAGTATGAAAGCTCAGATATGGGCATGAATATAGGTATAAAAAATTGGCATAGGCATAGGCATGGTACAAAAAACTTGGCATGGGCATGGGTACAGTCACAAAAATTTAGTATTTATTATTTAATTATATCTAGCACTTTGACCAGCACCTTGTGCCTAGTACTTTGTGCCCATGCCTTTGCTAGTGCCTGATACTTTGTGCCTATGCCTTTAATGGTATCTGGCACTTTGTATTTATACTTACAATAGTGCCTGGCATTTTATGTCTATAGGTATAGATATAACATAAGGCATCTAGTGCCTGGTATAATGCCTATATACCCAGCATGGGCATTTGCAAACCCTAGTGCTTATATATCGCATGTATATACAAATTATAAATTGTTAACTTAAAAATAAAAAAAAGAATTTAGATGTTTAATTAGGACTAGAGTTAGATAAGGTTAGGGTATAAAAAAAGATCTTATAGTAAAAGTTCTCAAGAAATTTTTATTATAGCACGAAAGATAGTTTCATATATAAAATTTTGAGTTATAAGCAACTTTTGACAAAATGAATGTTTGTTTTGAAATTTTCTAATCATACTATATTATATGGAATCTTAAAATTTGATTAACAATCATTATAATATAATATATAAGCATATTACAGAGCTGTAATGCCTAATTAAATCTAAATTAAAATTAAAAAATTGACTATATTTAGCATATTTTTTTATTTATAAATATATATATAATTAAAATTTGGAATAATTTATTTATCGCAATGCAATATTGTCACATTTGATGCAGATCATAAGATCAGATATAATGTAAAATCAAAATAATCATTTTCTTTCATTAGTTAAGATTAGAATAAAGTTAGAATTTGTATACAGGTGAAAAAAGATTTTATAGTAAAATTTTGAAAGAAATTTTTTTTATTAGAATCCAAAAGGTGTTTCATATATAAAATTTTGAGTTATACACGATTTTTGGCAAACAAATGTTTGTTTTAAATTTTTTATAATGTATAACATAATACCTGATCTTAAAATTTGATTGGTTGAATGTGTAAAAGTGATATATAAGACACATTGCACAGTACGATAAATAAATTTACTAATAGATATTAATTAATAATATATTAAATTTTTATTTTAGCTTAGTAATAGAAATACTTATCTTTAATAAAATTTTTAATATTTTAAAAAAACATGTTAAAAAAAATTTAAAAGGCAAATTTGCCCACTAGATAGTTTAAAGAATAGTATAAAAAATAGTTTTATATGTAAAATTTTGAGTTATAAACAACTTTTGACAAAACAAACATTTGTTTTGAAATTTTTTGATTATATTACATTATAAGTAATCTTGAAATTTGATTGGTTAGTTATTAAAATGCAATATATAAGCTTGTTGCAATGCCTAATTAAGTTCTAATTTTAAAGTTAAATTTACAAATTTTATATGTTTTATATATAAAATTTTGAATTGTAAACTTCATAAATTAAAAAAAATTAATCCAATTTGTTTTGCTCAATAAAACTTATATACTGTATTATAGAATATAAATATTGAATTTACCAATTATATTAAAAAAAATTATTTAGTAAAAAAATATTAACTTTATATATTATATAAATTTTAATTTTTTTATATATTTTATTATAAAAAAAAACTATCAGGCATTGCTTTTGTTGCCTACTGTATATCTAAACTGAAATTGTTCAGAATATAATTTGATATAGAGAATTACTATTTGCATCATGATTTTTGTTATTTGCATCATTAATTTGACTAAAATTAACCCTAACTCTAGTTAAACTAATGGTACAAAATAGCAAAAACCATGATGTAAATATCAGTACCTTTTTACATATAATTATTACTTTAAAACTGCTAAATTTTTTCTTTTGACAGTTACATTTTCAAATTATATCAAAATTGCAAAATTTTAATTCAGCTTAAAACATATTTTATTTCCTTTTTTTGATATATTTATTTGTAAAATTTAATTTAAAGTTAATAAATAAGGAAAGAAACATTACAACAAAGTTAATATTTCTATATGCTTTTGCTATAGTTTTATATATACAAAAATTTACAGTTTACAGTATGACTGATATATATTTATAAAAGCAGCCAGATTATTTTATTATTTGGGATACGTTTTGGAGATAAAGTGGTAAAGTATCTACTCGCTTTATATAAATAAGATTATTTATTTGATTAGTTGGTAACCCAATGATTAAAAACGAATGTTTTTTTATATCATTCAAATCATCTTGTTGAGACAAACTGAATAAGAATCACTAGACACTATTTGTTAACTTCGATACTATATGATCTCCATTTTACCCACCCCGAATATTACCCTTTTATGAAAGTTTATTAAATAAATAAATCAATATTAGAAGTAAAGTTATTCAGAAGATCAAAATATATATATTCAAAAAGTTTAAATGAACTAAGTAACTTATTAATATATTGTTATTTTTTATGTCTTACAAAATATTGAGAACCAGATTTAAAATTTGGTTCTGAACAAACCAGGTTTAACTTATGCTTATAACATATTATATAAAAATTTGGTTCTTAGGTTTTTAATTTGGAACCTAAACCAAACCAACTAACTTTACTAAATCAAAATATCGTTTTCAAGGTTATCGGACAAATGGGTCCAATTTCTATTCCGTTCATTCTGGAATCAGTGATGTGCCTAAATCTTCGTTCGGCTCCAATAGGCTATGTGCACACAATGAATTTTAATATTTGTCCTTAACGTAGAATCAATTAACTTCCTAGAGATGTTCAGATCATTTCCTTACCTATACTGCTTGAGAAGTACACATTCACCGCCATTTTCCAAATCTATATTATATTGATAGAAATAGCCTTCCGAGGTAACAACCATGACTTGAGGTGTGGTACTAAGTAATAAATTTTGTCAATAACAAAATGTAATGAAACTTCCTGCTTTCCATGAACACGACTACCGTATTTAAACATCTTCTCCAGTGCTAAGCCCTATAAGAATTTCAATAACTTTCATCAACGAGAATGAAATGTATAAATGTATAGATACCTACTTGCTTAATGCAACTACACTTTGGACTCCAGAACTAGGTAATTTCAAGTAAGCGAAATCGCGAGTTGGTTCCCACATTTCCGTAAGAGCATCTGGAAGATAATTACCGACACTACCAGCTACAGTACGCCCAAGGTGAAGAGATTGACGTCGTATGGCACTTATTGCCAAAATGTAAACATGGATCCAAAGCAAATTAAATCATTAATACCGTATTTCGAATTTAAATGACGGACAATAAATAAAATCAATTTGTTATATTAACACAACGCTACTCGTTTACATTCATTGCTATAACAACTCACCCGACAGACCCAGTCTTTTTCTTCCCATCAATGAAAGCCTCAAATCCTCCTATTGTCGCAGGCCCAATAGAGTGACGAGTGAGAGAATTCGCAACACCACCTGCACCATTAGTGGCACCATTATTCGCATTTGCGTTACTATTAGGTCCACTTGTGTTTCCAACTAATTTGAAGACATGTACAGTTTCAGTGTCACTCGAAACACATAATAACGAGCTAACAAGATTGAACGAGATAGAGTGGATGCGAGCTGGATAAGATCCCCGTCGAAACTGATGCAATTTTTGAGCATTTGGAATTGAAAAAACACGGATTACAGTTCCCTAATGTAAAATTATAACATTCAGTATACAATAATTCATATTAACAAAGTAAGTGACATACATACCTTATCACTAGCAGTCGCCAACAACGTTCCTTCAGAGTTAATGGCTACGTAAGCTACTGGGCTTTTATGCGCTTGGACAACATTGACAACTTGCAATGATAATGCGTCAAAGATCAAGACGTCACCAGATGGCGCCGTATGTTGTGTACTATGATTGGAAAAAGGTGATGATGGTGATGGAATTGGAGAAGGATAGGCTATGTAGCAATTTTCATTTGAAGGAGAAAGGGCGCAAATTGCTACGAATTGATACAGAATATGTAAATTAAAATTATTGGAAACTTAGAGATAACAATTGGTGAACCTAGCAAATAATCACCATTTGGGTTAGGACTAGTATCAATAGTATGCAACAATTTCATATTACTGATATCGTAAATAAAAATTGTTTGCTCTAAAACGACAATTAATCTGCGACGGTTAAGTTTAACAGCTAAGATCGAAGTTTGGAAGGTAAGTTCACATATTGTTGTTTGTCGCTTTTTTTTTTTTTTTAAAAAAAAAAAAAACAAGATAGTTATCCGTTAGGTGATCTCTTTTACCAATTAAATGAATCGAATGTTTAAATTAAATGTGAATATACCTTGGTGTTAGTGATTTGTAATCGTCGTGGTGAAAATGATGGATGGTCTCCTGCACCAACGAGAGCTACTAAGGACGTACAAAAAAGCATCTCAACGATACCAGTACCACCACCAGCTTATGTTTAATTATGAGGAAATAAAATACCAACGCGTTAAATTAAAATTAAACTATTTTACGATCTTTAAAGTTATCGCATAAACTTATGGCATTACGTGAAAATTCATTTGACTTAGTTCAACTCAAATGTCAATATCACAGACGCTACTAATTTTGTCTTAGTTTATAGAAAATATGTACCAGCGACAACTTCATTCGTGCAATAAAAGAACCACAAATAGATCATAAAAGTGCATTATTTTAATGCCAGTAAAGAAGACTTACATTTTGAGTAACACTTTCCGAATGGGTCACAATTATATATCTTGTAGCCATGTTGTGTACCGACAGAGATGCAACTTTAAATTAAAAGATGTAATTGTTTTAGCATATAAAGCACTTGTACACGTTTATATTTAAGTTAAATGTTAGGATTCAAGTAACATTTGTACAATTAACTTTTAAACATTTACTGATGGTAAATGCAATACACTGAAAAACCTAAGAGACGAAGATGCGTGTCCAACCAGCTACTTTTAAATTTACCTGAAATCTTGATTGAAATTAATGAACAATAATTCGTTGTTTCCCCGACCGCTAAGATTCATGACCAATATTTGGGTTAATTAACAGCGAAAGTTCCGGTTTAGGTCAATTTTTAAAAACTGGATGGACCACAAGGCGTTCCCGTGGCGTTCCCGTGACACCTTTATAGTTCTATTTTCTGCAAAACTTCGGTATACATTGAGGCTGATTGCAAAAAAAAAAAACACCATTTATACATGATTAGTGTCACAATAAAAAGTTTGCATTATATAAATATGATGCTATATAAATAACAATTTTCGTTTTGCTTTACAACCGTGCGTTATTTGTTTCTTGAAAAAAAAACGTTTGCAAAAACCCTTGTTAAATTTTTATCACATTGTAATTGCAAGTTTCAGGGTAAGAAATTTGCTTTCGCATTTGTGTCAGATTCCCGCTTCTTCAAACTGCGATTTATCCACAAATATTGTTGCTGAATATGTTTATTGCAGACTAGTTATAAATTGCCAGAGTAATTTTACAAAACTTCTCAATTATTGTAAATAGCACGTACCTCAGTAATTCGATCGTATAATACGATGGACCATTCTGGCCACTCACCCGAAAGTCGAGGTTATCCTGATGAGTCACCAGAGGAAGCGCTTATGGCGTCTTTTCGAGTTGCAGCAGAATCTGTTGCGCAACTTTACAAAACCTCTTTGAACCAAACGAAGCGTTATGATAACGGTTATGAACAGTGCCTACGAGATTTGATGGAATATGTTTCAACGCATCCCAACGTTCAACAAAGACGTCAGACAAGTGGTGGTGACGGTCGGGATGCATTCATATGTGTTGATGATTTGTTAAAGTTCATTCATTCTAAAACTGAGCATCTAAAGTCTATGAGTCGACGAACTCGCGACGATGCCATGAATGTTCGCCACCAATCCCAACAACAAACACAACATTTCGTACAAACATCACAGCAGATATCCCCTTTTCAAGCGGCTGGCACACATACACATTCTAATTCCGGTGACTCTCCGGTGTCGGATAATATCTTTGGAACCGATCGTGACCAGTTTAACTTTTCTCTTCAATCAAATCTTATGTACCACCCTATTCAGCACGAAATTGACTGCATTGATACAGGACAAGAAGGAGGTATTGGGATTTTGGCTAGTAATGATTCCTTAAAGAGACGATACGGTGGTCCAACAGAATTGAACTTTTTCGGTCGTTCAATGCCTCTAGAATATTCGTTCTTCGAGCCACTAACTAAAAAGGGAAGGCTTCGCAAGGATGAGTGACTTTATTTTCTTTATATCAATCTCTTGTTTTATGTGACCCCTGTGTTTTTACAATGGTGATGATGTCTTCAATGTCGTTTAACGCCGTTTCATCGTATGTATAACAAATGTTTTAATTACTTTTTTTTTGCTTTAAAAAAAAAAATTACACTACCTTCTCATTACTATTTCTCTTATTTATTAGATCTCCTTTGTTCAAATATGGTTGATTGTTGGGTTTGAACACGGTTTCATTCTTGCATTTTCTCAATATACATAATGTCAAATAAGAAACAAATAAATCAATGTAAAAAAAGACAATTAAACCTTACATATAAACCAACGACATGTTACAATGATTATATTAGAAAGAGTAAGTTGTTCAATAAATTGGCTCGAGAAATTTTTCAGCTTTTTATATCACGAGATAAATTAATTACCGTGAATAATCATTAGGTGTGATAATCTTGTAATGATTATTTTCTCATTTTGAGGTATTAGATATATTTAATGAATACGCTACAATATTTTGGTTTATATATTAATTTATACATTCTTTTGTTTTGTATATTTGAATTTATTGAAGTTTAATATTAAAAGAATTCTTCTTTTAGTCTAGTTAGAAAATGGACATGATTTGTAAATTGATTTTTAATAAAAAAATATTTTGTTAATTGAATATTGTTAAATAATATTTCTAGAAAACAAATGTGTATTTATAGATTAATTTTATAGGTGCTATAAGTTACTAAGTGCGTTTATAGATATTGAAGTTGTAATACGTTGATTTGCAATTCGTTATGTCCGAAAGTCTTTTAATAACTGTCTGATTAAATATTAAATAGTTATTAAAAAAAATTTTTGTTAAAAAATAAAAATTTTTTTTTGTAAATTCTTATCAATGATTTTTAATAATTATTTAATTGAATTTGGATTTTATAGTTTAGAGATTAAGTTTTCAAGTCTTTATAAACTAGATAATAGTTAAAGTTTAGCTAAAAACAAAATATTTTTGTATTTAAAAAATAAGCTAATAATTAATATTACGGATAATGCTAAAAACTAGAATTAGTTAGTTGTGAAGTACAAAAACTAGGTAATACAGTGGTAGATTTAGATTGCAAATAAAGTAGTCCAAGTCTTGTATTCGAAAATTAGTTTGGTAATAGGTGCATGAGTAAGCAATAAGGTTGTATAATAGTGTACAAACTTAAGAATTAATAAAGATATAAAAGGCATGATTTTATCTTAAAAAAAAATAATTTCAAAAAATATTAAGAATATTTTGAAATATTATAAAAAATATTGCAATATACTATAAAAGATTTAAAAGATTTAATAATATAAGTATTTAAAATAATTTAAAAAATTTTAAAATGGATTTGGGCTTCGTAGCTTATTGGTTAAGCTCTTAAACCTTCACAGACAAGGTCAATGGTTTGAGTCAGGCTGGTGGCAAATTTTGAATTTGCTACTATAACCTATAAGGGGTCATAATTGAATGTGAAGTTCATAGAAAGTCCAAGTACAAGTATGGTTTTAGAATAGAAATTCCTGGAAGGAGATTTAATCATAAAGTGCAGGCATCATATATAATAATTGCATCACAGAAGGTTTAGGTAATGAAAGATTTTGCAGGTAAGTTCTAGAAAACAAGGCAGCATCAACATCTCTTCATTATCACTTAAGGCAATACCAATATTTCTATATTCAACTTGTAGAATACTTGTTTGAGAGAGTAATTAACAGATTATATATATAAGTCCTAATGTAGAATAATGGTGTGGGTACTTGATTAGAAGAGTGATACAATATTATTAAAAACTGAAGTGGTAAGAGAAGCAATAAATATGAAAATGATTTGTAGTAAGAATTGGCCTTACTAAAATTAAAAGTATTTCTAGCAATATACAAAGTCTAAAATTAGAAAGATTCTATTTGTAAAGAGTTAAGTTAAGGCTAAAAACACTGGGCTAGTAGTAATAATATGAACAGAATATAACCATAATACAAAGATATACTAATATTAAATATTAACCAATTCAGACAAAAGCTGGAAGTGATATTACATACCACAAACCTAATTGGGAATAATATTATTATGCTATATAGCCTATATTTAACCAACATACAGAAGCCTTCATATAAAGATATAGAAGACAAAGCATACTGATTCTAGTGTGCTTTCTAACAAAGTACTAGTTGTAGTAGTTAAGTTGTACAAGGAGTTGTCTAGTAGAAGATAGCAGGCTATAAAAAGTATAAATCTAATACTAGCAGAAAAATGTCACTGTCATTACTAAGTTAGAAAGTACACTGTGAGAAGTATGAAGGCCTAGGCTCTATAAGAATCTATTTGCTTGAAAGTTTTTCTGAATAGATATAAAAGATATGGTAAATATACAGTAATAGCAGATCAAAACAATTATAATCTCAGTTATATATGTTACCGAAATAGGTTTTCAAAAAATCTCTATTTCATCTTCATTAGAGCAATTTAGATTTTTTTATATGCAATAGCAAATCTAATTTAGGTAGTTATATTTCTTATAATTTTATTTCTTCAAAAAAAGTATTAAAAAATTTCGTCTTTTAAGTAAAATAGGTCAAAAACAATTTTGTCTTCAAATTTTAATTTTGTAACCCGAAATCTAAAATAATTTCATCAGTATATATAGTTCTAATATAGAAAATCTAAATATAAAATAATAGTATAAGATTAAAATATATTTGGTGGTTTGCATTTAAGAATAAAGTAGTTTTAAATTGTAGCCTAAATTATAAAAATATCAATATATCTAGTTAAATATAAAAATTGAAAATATTGTAATGTAACAAGTTAGCCCTTTGGTTAACAAGTTACT